AACCAAATTATAGAAAAAACTACCAAACAGCCAAATTCGAAAATATTAAAAAAAAAAACCAAGTTTGGTTGGAAAGAACACGCATGCGGTCACAGAGCCCTCAGTAAGCTATGGCATGTCGATCACTGTGCTAGATAGACATGCTACGACAGGCCCAGACTTGTTTGCCTCAGTTTCAGTTTTGCTATCGTCGCGAGTTCGGTGCGCGCATAATTATTTAAAAATTTAAAGTTTTAAGCCAACCGGGGTTTCTCAGTGGATATATAATTCATGTGAATTAAAATTTCAAAATGCCTATTTAGCCAAGGAAAAAGCAAAGCAGTATACTTAAACCAGCACTTCCAGCAGATATTGACCTGTTATATATACAGTGACGGGCAAAACTGTAACATGGTGTAATACTTTTTACTTCAGCCATCGCTATCTTTCCAAGTTCTAACGACTTTCATACTTTTGTTGTATATTCTTGTTGGTACATCCCTACTCACTCTCTCATAATGATTTGAATTCAATACAACAACAATAAAAAAACCAGCAGACAAAAATGTAAATTAAGGCAGATGTTACAGTTTTGCACTCATATATTTTTAAGAACTTTTTAACAATTTTCAAGAAAAAAAGAACTACTAACACAATGTTCAGTACTCTTTTGCTTGTTTCAGTTCCTGGATGCGATTTGGCATACCTTATTTGTATCTTTGTAAAAATTCTGGAGATATATCCTTAGTTTGCTTTCACAGCTCATGTACTCGATTTTACGGACTTTGATACTTATTAAGCTGTGCTTTTAGTTGATTTCGCAAATTCTCGATGAGATTCATGTCCGCGGATTGTGGAGGTCATTTAAAATTTGCAAATTTTTGCTTTTGTATCCAGGCATTGCGACATTATGCAGTGTGTTTTGAGTGATTTTTCAGCAGAAACTCTAATTTTTTCGACTACATCTTGCAAATTTTGTTGAAATATGAACAGATACTGTTCCTTACGCATAATGCGTACTAACGGACAAACACAATTTTATAAATACAACCCCAAACTATTATTGACCGACCACTGTGATTCACAGTTTGCCTTACATGATGCGCATGGGCTTAATTTGGGTCTTCGATCCAATACCATGCCCGGCCATCTGATTGAAAGCGATTAATTTAGTCTTGTCAGAGCAAATAACCTTCAATTGAAACTCAAAAATATGTTTTTTATTGCATTATGAACGGCCTAACATATCCCAATATGCCACGATTCGGTTTTCGTGCGATGCAGCAAAATGCTGCCACACTCGCACATGTATTTTGATCAAATTTGCCTTTTTATTCTTTATGATGCCTTTGCGCTCAATTTGGCAATTCTTCGCCTCGCTGTCTATTCATTTGCATTAAAGTTTAATACCTTAAGCGCTTCTGTAATAGTGGCTGCATCACTACTTGCTGCTAAGTTCACAAGATATCGTACCGTAATATTTTTTGACAGACTTCCTTTGTCCTTGGGAACACTTTAGGCTATATTTTTTGTCAGTCTTAACATTTTCAAATAGCGAATTACAAAATTTTTTGCCACATTTCGGGCGGTCCCGCCTTGCCGCAGTAAATCTATTATTTACATTTATGGTTCCTGATTAACTATGTTATTTACTGGTGATCACTTCTTCAATAAATTAAAATATAGAAAAAATTCATCTGACTTCCAACTAAGTAAGAGATAACTGTCAAATGCAAAACTGAGAGTGAGTGCAAAACTGTAACATCTGCCTTAATTTACATTTTTGTCTGCTGGTTTATTTATTGTTGTTGTATTGACTTGAAATCGTTATGAGAGAGGGAGTAGGGATGTACCAACAAGAATATACAACAATAGGATGAAAGTCGTTAGAGCTTGGAAATTTAGCGGTGGCTGAAATAAAAAGTGTTACACCATGTTACAGTTTTGCTAGTCACTGTATATATTATATATTGATTGTTTCATCGTTTCTTTTTAGGAAATTCTTACCACCATATACATATGTATTATTTGCACTAGTTTATTTAAATATGATTGTATTTTCTAAGCTTAATATATGCAAATAAAAGAAGAAAGTAAACACAAGAACCATCGAGTAAATTTTTATTTGGGTCACTGAAACTTGTTTTCATTGTATAGGTTTACAAGTATGGAAAGCGCCGTTTTGTTTGTTTACATTCGAAAACAGCTGACATCACCTGATTTCTAATTCTCTCATTATCCGCAGAGTTACATTAAAGTTTCAGAAAAAAAACTTAATAGGTAAATTGAGAAATATTTTAGAAAAATGTGTTTTTATTCATTTGAATTGATTAAATAAGAAATTAAAAATACATGCCAAGTCTTGCATTTCCAATAATAACGATAAATGTGTATGTTCCAGGCAATAATTTAAAACATTTGTGAAACTTATAGTTTTGCGCTAAAATACAACAATGTGTGTAAAACTCGTTGTCATTGTTTCTGTTTTGAATATCATATTCGTGCCTGCCGGTGGAAAAAATAGGTAAATTTGCATTTATTTTTAGGAAAACATATAAATTAAAATATATTTCTTTCCAGAGCAACATACGGACAAGTAAGATGATATATTTGTATGATGAATATCGCGGAAAATCTTTTGCATCAAAATTTCTATTCAAATTTGCATTTGAATTATCATATCAACAGGGATGCTTTGGAACGTATTTTTTTAAGACACATTTTTTATAAATCTTGAGATTGTTGATTTATTTTAGAATTAAAAAGGCTAGTTTGTATTAAAAAATATATTTATGGCCTTATTCATAAAAAATAAAGTAGCTTTATAAAAGGTTTATAAATTGAAAAATGTATGAAAACGACAATTTATAAAGCTTTTTAAAGCTACTTTATTTTTTTATGAATAAGGCCATTAGACTCTTCTAGTCTATGTAATCTACTTTTATTACGAATTAAAATGATTTTAATGAATATTCATGGTTACCATTAATAGTAGTACGACAGTTAGATCTAAATGCATATTTGACAAGAAAGATAGAATACAAGATTGCGCCATCCTGGCGGCGATGACACATCTGTACAAAAAGTAATAACAATATTCAATTTTCAATTTTTCCTAGTAAACAATCGTGGTACAAAGCTTAATAAAAATATTAAAAATAAAATGTTAACAAACCACAATAACATTGACAAATACATAGTTTAGGAAGAGCCTGCCTGAAACTATACAAAAAAGCAAATAAGCAAATGGATGTATAGAATTGACAACAACAACCACGCTGTCGAGTTTAAATAGCGGCAAATCAGCTGCACTTGATAGTAGTTGGTTGAATAAGGAAAATGAATTAGCAACAAGAGTTTACGGGATGTACATAGCTCAGTGGTTAACGCTTCTGACTTTGAACATCGAATACGCAGGGTCGATCCCTGCTGAAGTCTAGAAAAAAGAAGTCTGATGAGGAGATGTGGTGATCTCCGAAATAGTGCTATAACACCTACCGCTTAGACTTTGTTGCTTTTTCAATTTTTCCTGATAAACAATCGTGGTACAAAGCTTAATAAAAATATTAAAAATTTTAAAACTTTAATTTTTTATGAATAAGGCGATAAAAATATATGATTTACAATAACTTTGAATAAGAAAAATGCGAAAAAGGTGATTTTGGCGGAAGTAGGTACTAGTGAATTTCAATGCAATTAAAGTTTCTAAGGCTTCGTTTACTTTTAGATCAGAATTGTCAAAATTGACAAATTCAAAGTAACAGTACAAGAATCATAGAAAAGAAGATTGCGCCCTGAACGTTCTGCTATCTTTTTTGGTTTCAGTTTGACAGCCAGCTGCTGTGATGATGTGAAAATTTGCCACAATGAAGAAAAATATAACAATTAAGTGGAAAAATTAGATTTTTACAAATTTAGTGCTCAGTGGCGCGTTTCAAGAACGATATTTCAGACGAATCGTTGATGAACAACTGTTTTTCCTTCCCGTCTGCTTTGGTCCTGCCGGAGATCAAGTCATTTCAATCACAAAATAATATTATTTGCAAGAACCATTCACTAAAATTGTAACTAAGTTTTTATTATTTATTAATTCCTTTTTGATATTCAGATATAGCAAGATGGAAAAAATGAGAAACCAAAATTTGTAATATTTTTATGAATGTAGTTATAAAAGTTCACAGAGGAAACGCCAGAAAACAAAGTATTGGCAACGACATAAAATGTATGGCAATTTAGATGTCAACAGTATAATAACTACGATAAAAAAGCATGAGAGAAGTGTGCGAAGGAGGAAATCTTTTCAATTTGAGCAAAAAAAGCTTTAAATGCCGTTGTAAAACGGGCAACAAATTTCTTATAAAATATTTTGATTTTTGCTAGGTGTAGTTGAAACTCAGTCAAATGAGTATTACGGAAAAGAAAAATTTGAAAACAATAAACAGAAAAAGAGATGGGTGCACGAAAAGTTAAGTTAAATGTTATACCCAAACAAATCGATTTTTTTTACCGTTTTTATAAATAAATCTTATAGCAAGATGCTATATATCTGTGTTCGTTTGGAATAGTAGTTTATGTCGGGAAGCTGGCTTTAGTATAATGCGGCATTCACTTTATTCTTTAAATGACAAGGAATCTTTTCATGCGACTTAATAAGAACATGGACTTGCTAGTATCGCAACTATTTCTTGCACTTTTATTTGCCAAAAATTCTTTGACGGCTCGGCGACAGTGAGTCATTCGCAATCGTATGCTGCGAATGCCGCATTATACTAAAGCCAGCCTTTCGATGTAAGCTACTATTCCATACGAACACAGATATGTATCTATACACTTTTTGGCTGGCGAAATATGTAGTTTTTCCAACTTAATAAAAAAAGTGTATTTAACCACATAAAATTTTTTTTTTAATATTGAATGGCGCAACACAACAACACTTTTTGTTGCACGAAACCCTTGAACACGTGACTGTCTGTCATCTATTTCTTCTGTTTCGACATTTCGCTATTTTGCATTTATTTCATTTTGACGTCATTCGCATTGTCAGATTTTTGGAATTCGTTTTGGTTCAACATTCTGCTATTTCATAATTCTTTCATTCTCATGTCATTCATCTTCCATTTCTTTCATTCCAATCCCGTTCGCATCGTCCAACGTGCCTGTCAAATACGGCCGCCATAATGCTTTTCAGTTTGGCAGGCACGTTCGCTGTTTGGTAGGCACATCCGTTGTTAGAAAGATAATAGACAAAAAGGGGCATAGGATTCCATACTTGTAAGTATATACGATGCATGTTTTCCAATAATAAACGATTAGGTGATTCAAGTCTGCAGCAAGTTCACACAACTAATTGAAAACTTGTATCAACCAAGGCATTGTTTATATTTGCTCAACAATGATTTGATTCAACTGACAATATTGTCCTATCAAGGTAGTCGTTTTGTAATTATTGGCTGCATTTCTTTATACATTCCGGATAATCTCATTTCACAGCCGGAATAAACAGAATGTGTTTGAAATATACGTTAACATATCATCAGGAACGTTCTAAAGAATAAGTAAACAAAAAAGTTTATTCCAAACGTTCAGAATGAATAAAGAAATTCAGCCTTTAACAAATATACATTTGTCCCAACTAGAAGTCTCAAGTAAATTGCAAACTTTCGCGAACTAGATATTTATTTCGCCAAATCTAACTATGCTACTTGGTCACTATAACCAAATCTTGGTAATTATAACTAAACCTTTTTCTGGGTGCAAATCAAGAGAAAACATTGTGGCTGATCTAAGAACATCAAAATTTTCACTCATTGTCGACGAAACAGTAGATTTAATATCGAAAAATGTTTAGTTCTAGTGGTAAGATACTTCGATCGACTTGTACTATTCGTGATCGATTCCTTTCTTTAATCGAACTAAACAAAACTGATGCAGAATCGATTTACCAAGCTATAATATTGTTTTCCCAAGAGCGTACCCTTCAGCAATACAATGGCATGGAATTCAATGGGTTGAAATCTAGATTAAAAGATGACACCAATCTTTTTTTCATAAAAAGTACGTGTTCGTTTCACTTATGCACTAGCTATGTTTGTAATAAGCTTCCTCTTGATATCGAAAAGTTATGTCGAAACATCTATAACTTCTTTTTCCATAGTCCGAAACGAATTGGTGACTTTAAAGAGGTTCAGGAATACTGTAACGTAAAACCGCACAGAATACTCGGGATATCTTTCACTCGATGGCTTGCGTTAGGAAACGTCATTACAAGGCATAACGAGCAATGGCAAGCGCTCCAGCTTTACTTCCTATCTTCATGTCTCGAAGTTAATGGCACACGTGCCCGCGAAGTAGCTCACTCAATCGCAGATGTCGAATTAAAAGTATACATGCTGTTTTTGTCCTACATATTAAAAGTAATTAACAATTTAAACAAAGAGTTCCAATCGGAAAAGGCTCGGCTGCCATTTTTGTATTCCCAACTGGAAATATATTTTAAATTAATTTTGGACAATTTCAAGCAGAATAATTTTGTCAAAAATACTACGTATCTGAAAAACTTCCGACATTTACAATGAATAAAATTTTCTACCAATAAACGACATTTTCATCGGAAATAAAACACAACCATCTCTAACAACCGACACATTTCCGAATCGCAAAAAATAACGATTAAGACAAATATTTTAAATTTGTATATGAGAGCGTATCGGTAACAAAGTTCGCGGCGAGTAATTTTTTTAAAACTATGATGTGAACAAAATTTCAGTAGCTCATGAAATTTTTGGCAAATGCATAGACAATTTTGATAATAGCAAAGATTGTTGATGTGTGTAATTTTTCGTTAAATAAAAGCTTAAATTGATGAATTGTAATCAACGATGGTAGATGTTTTCTTAAAATATTAATTTCACTTCAATTTGTAATATTTTATTCCGCATAAATCTGCGGTTATCAAAAATTTACTGCTATAAAAAAGATTTAATTTCACACAGCAGATTGGCAAAACTGTCTCACCATAGTAAAAGTATTATTCAACAGCTTTCCCCATAGAGCTTTGTTACCGATTCACACACGCCCTGAGTTTTTAAATCAGCTACAAAAAAGTTTCGATTTTGGAAGAGAAGAACTAAAAAACGTATATTTATCACACCTAACAAAGTATTATCTGAAACACAACTATTTACAAAGCCTCTTATACAAAAATTTGAACATTTAATTCAATGGGATATCGATGTGTGACAGTGGGAGCTTTTAAAGCTTACAAACACTGATCTTAAAAGCGATATGGACGTTTGTTTTTTTTTTTGGAAAAAGTAAGTTTGCATACAAATGGAATAGAAGAGGCTTGCTTTAAAGAATTGACAAATTTTATATTTAATTTGCTGTATCTTCCACATAGTTCGGCGGCTGCGGAACGCAATTTTTTCGAACTTTCATTAGTAAAGACTAAATTCTGAAATAAACTGGAGTTCAACACAATAAATCACATTATGATATCAAAAAAGCTTTGTTTAAAAACGCAAATTCCCATTACAGTTTGTCAGCAAAAGAAGTAAAATGATATTCTTTATTGTTAATGCGACTAAAATTTCTCGTGATTTCACTCATCAATGTTACATACAGATGTATGCATACATAAGTATACAGTTTTTCCACAAAATTCTGAATTATGCGTTCGTTTTTATTTGCCGATATTTCGACTTCAGTCTGAAGTAATCAGGACTGAAAAAATACATTATAACAATTAAGTAGCTGTTAGACGTGGCAAGTGCAAGTCCGTTTCACAAGTCTGTCAAACTCAGGAATTTTCAAAAGAGATTGCAGGAGCAGTTACTCCCTGCAAATAAAGTGGCTTTCGAAAGTAGTTTTTATTTCTGAAAATCTAACTTTACGGTACTACTTTTTGTAATTATCTGAAATTTTCCTAGCATCACAACGAATTCTCCACCTTTACATCGTCCAAAATCATCAGATCAGTAGTATTGATTTGTCTTCTGCATTTTGACTATAAGTAATCTGGTGGGAACCTACCTTCGAATCCTTCTTATTTACTTAACCTTCTTACTTATATCTACAATCTACTTCTTCCTATCTAAACTATCTTTTGCTTTGCTAGTATTTATTTATCACTTTAAGCACGAATATTGATTATTTTCTATAGTAATTATTATTATATATTTATTATTATTTTTTCTATTATTTTATTGTAATTTGTTATAGTAAGATTTTAAATATTAGTTGATGTGCATATAAAAGACTGCATTGTCTTAGTTGTACAAATATTTGTAACAAATAAATTGAAATTGAAATTGAAATTGAAAGTGCAAAATTTCGCCGAAAAAAATTCAAATTTTTCGCGTTCTTCCAGAATTTTCCGAGTTTTCCACTAAGAATTTTATATATTTCCATTCGAAAAGCCCTTCCGAAGTGATTGCACACAAAATTCCATACAAAAACCTTTTCCGGGCAATTAAGAACAACCAAAAAGAAATTTGAGCCAAATCGGCCCAGCCGTTCTCAATTGATGAATTACTATAAATTTTTCACACCATTTTTATATATATAGATTAAACAAGGATTACGATGGTGTAATTTTAAATCCCTAATTTACTGGTATTCACTATGCAAATCAACTTCAAAAACTTTAACTGCTAATAGCTAAGTTAACTTTAGGACAATCATGACCATCTAATATATAGAGGTGTTAAGCCCATTTCTTTAGCTTTGAAACGACGTTAAGATGAAGTCTCTACGACGAGCAGAACCCGATAATACAATTTGAAAAAGTGCATGATTAGGCAGGATCACGAAAAAATCTAAACTTTGACAGATGTTATCTCCGCAGAAAAAAATTCCTCGCATTCGTGTTAGCTTATTTCATGTATAGAACCCATTAAAAAAATTCAAGCCAATCGAAAGTGTGACACCAAATTTGGTGTCCAAAATGAAAAAGAATGCCTCTAGGAAAACGAATAGAATGACAGAATACAAGATTGCGCCCATTAGAGGATTTTTGAGCGTAATTTTTGCTTGACGTCATTTTGGTAGAATTGTGAGAGAGGCAAGTAAAACGAGCAGGAAAAAGTGTAAACAATGCGGAAAAATGTGTTAATATCAATATACAAACCGCTAAATTCTGTGTGTTTTTGATACATTTTTTTTTAAGAAATTGGATCAAGATTTTTATCAAGTAAAAGGTCCTTTCGCATTCTGTGTCAATATTTTTAAAACAAAAAGCTCTACGATTTCCACGTGAGGGAAACTGATCTCCACATGAGTGGAACTGATTTCAATGTCACATATGAATTTAAAAGCATTTGACTGCCGTAGCCGAGTAGGTAGAGATATCGACTGTATGTAATTCCGTGTTTCGCCGGTTCAAATGCCAGCACATGCAATATTTAAATGATGGAAACAAATCCTCTAATGAGCGTGCGTGAATCGGTAACAAAGTAGCTCATGAGGCTAGTGAAATTTTTGACGAATGCATAGAAAATTTTGACAATTGCAAAGATTGTTGATGTGTGTAATTTTTCGTTAAATAAAAGCTTAAATTGATGAATTGTAATCAACGATGGTAAACGTTTTCTTACAATATTAATTTCACTCCAATTTGTAAAATTTTATTCCGCATAAATCTGCCGTTATCAAAAATTTAATGCTGTCAAAAAATATTTAATTTCACACAGCAGATTGGCAAAACTGTCTCACCATAGTAAAAATATTATTCAACAGCTGTCCCCATAGAACTTTGTGGAAATTTATAATTTTCACTTGAAATTTCAATTTGTAAACGCTTTTCAATAGCATTTTCCATGATAAAAAAATAAAGTAGAGGAATTTTTCAAATTCTTGACGTTGCAATCAATTTAATTTTAAAATTTTACACACAGTCTCACACACACATTCTCAATTTCAAACTCAAACAACAACAACTTTGAACAATTCCTTTTTTTGCCTTCCTTTTATTAGCTCGGGATGTAACTATGTAATATTGATGCGCCTAAAAGATGCAGCGATTTCTATTCTCAAGTTACATACTTGATGACAGTACGAATGGCAATTATAATAGGGAGGTTTTAGTCTTTTAAACTATAATTTTATTTTTACTCTCAATTTTGTATGATTTTAAAATGTTGGCAAACTTCAAAAAAAAAAAAATCATGGCCGACGAATTTAGAGAACGGTTTTACCTTACTATGTTTTTATCATGGCATTTTCAATTTTGATAATTTATCAATAGAAGAGCTTTTGATTCCTGTGCTAGAATACCAGTTCTTGATAAATAATAAAAAATTGACATATTATAAAAATTTTTATTTTGTCAAGTGCACAGAATCGGGAACACGTAGCAATGATTTTGGGCATGTAGCCCTTTAGGTAAGCCCGATTTTCAGCACATGCCGGATGTTGGAAAAATACATGAAGTTATATGTATGTTGATATGTACAGAAAAAACTTATATCGCACGATTGCCTTTTGATTTCACTTTCAAAATTTGCCACTGCACACTTCATTTTGCCTTGTAATGTTTCAATAATTGTGTAAAACTACGCAGAAATATTAACGCACAAATAGTTAAATTGGAAATATTTAGTTATTTGTCCGCTGTTCTTGGGTTAGTGCGCGTAGGGGGAGGGGGCGTGGGTCTTGATATCCAACCCATTAGATAAAGCACAGTTCACACTTTGTAAAAAGTCACACGTGATCCCTTGAAACCTTCCACAGACCACAACAAACGGTTCCACAGCAACAACAACGGACCACAGACGGTTCAAAAACGCCCTATCTCACAAAATTTTTCAAAAACGTCTTATTTCAGAATTCGGTTGAAAAACGCCCTATATCAGCTGCCGCTTCAAAAATATCCTATATCAACATATTTTCAATATATTTCCAGTTGAGATAGGGCGCTTTGGAAACAAATTCTTCAACGAAATTCTGAGATAGGGCGTTTTTCAATAAAATTTTGAGATAGGGCGTTCTTCAACCAAGTTCTGATGTTGGGCGTTCTTGAGCCATTTCCTGAGATAGAGCGTTTCCGATTCGGCTGCCGAGATAGCTCGATCATCCACTCAGCCTTTCATATGTACATACATATATATTACTTACGCAATATTCAGCATTTGCAAATTCGTTTGACTTTTCAATTGATTTGATTGTAATGGATCCATTCAATTCAAATTTTAATTGCTCGCGAGCCATTTTTTCCAGCTCATTTTTATTATATCCATGTTTCGATTTCATTATATTTGAGTGTGGTGGCAATCCCGCAGGGCTTGTGTCATGTACTCGTATACCTATTGGCAAAATGTTCTCATTTATATTATCAAGAAGCTTATTATTGTAACTTAGTGCTGGTGGCGTATATATGGGAGAAAAATCTGGTTTAATGCGTCGTATAGCATCCATTACAACGTCTCTTTGATCACCAGTAAATATTGATCGATCCATTATTTGATTTAAAGTTATGCCCTGTAACAAGACATATTTATATAAATACATACATATATAAGCATGAAAAAATTTAATCATATACATTTTTTTCTGCCATTCGCGCGAACTTTTTAATTTCCTTGATATTTTCCTCTGTAGAAACTAAGCGTCCTAGACATTCGAATATAGCGGCAAATGTTTGTTCATTAAATCTCAATTGATCTTCTTCGATTAACGCGAAAAGGTCTTTAAATCGTTCAAAGGAACCGTTTTCTCCTAAGCCGTGGAGCAGAATGTTGTAAAAATCAATTGTAATGAGGCTGCGAGTTTCAGACTTCTTCTTAGCCCTTTGTCTATATGCTATCAATGTAGAAATACCACGGTGGACCATACCCGCCGAAACACAAACGTTAAGGTATGACTCCAGGTTAATTCGAAGTGCTTTTTCTTTTGCAAATCGCTCTTGTTCTTCACTGTTATGGATTTTCGACTTGAACCTGGAAACATTATTAGGTATACATGTAAATAGCAATTGTATAAAGGATGCTTGCCTGGAAACCAAGCAATATTTAAGTGTAAAAAAAACCTTGTTTAAGTTTTTAATAAATAAGTATAAATAAAAACCTTGTGTTAGATTTTGTGACGGCAACAGCTTGAGCTTCAGCTTCAACTTTTTCTACAATTTTAAGTTTTATTGCATTTAGCTCACGATTTGGAGATGAAACATGAGGCTCATTAGCCACTAAAGGATCCAGTAAGTCTTCGGCATCATGTTCTTTTACGACATGGCAGCTGTAGAAAATATAATAAATAAACTTCATTATTTATGATCCACGCAAATTTTCATGAAATTTTAAACTCGGAAATATTAGTTCGGGACATATCGTCGCTGAAATACAAAATGCCGTAACTTACTAAAAATCCAAAACTCACATTTTGATTGGTTACATGATGCATTTCATCGAATTATAAATCCCCACATCCAATAAAAATTTTAGTTAGTTACGGCTTTTTTTCTTTTCAACGACGATGTGAGATAGAGCCTTTCTATGTTAAGGTAACATATGTAAATACGGGTGGCAACGAATACACCCAGCGGGATAATTATAAGACCAATATTAATACTTCGTTAACACAGTTTAAAAAAAACAATAATAATAATTTCAAAGTATTGCAACAAAGTCATATGATCAGTCTGTGTTTTATAGCGGTCCTACCTTCTATACCAGAGGTGCTCAACAAATTTAAGTTATTGAACCAAACGACAACAACGTAAATTTATATAGAAGGCCCAAGAGCGAATCAGCGTGGAAATTGTCAAATACCAACAAAACTGGCGAAGCGCATTTTAAGAGCGCCCAGCCAGAGGCAAACAAATTTTAACAGAGCCCAGCCAGAGGCAAAATAAATTTAACAGAAATTGTCTCATCAAAGTAAATGCATGTTTTCTTGTTAGACAACGAAATGCTGACGGCTTTTTGCGGTTTTGTTCTTTAAATTGGTTAATTACTTAAAATAAATGCATGCGTAGAAGTCGAAATTATTCCTACTATATGTAATATGTACATATGAATGTATGAATGTATGAACGTATGTACGGTACGAATGTTAAGTGCTTTGGTTTGAATTTTCTTTTTCGCGGCATTGATTTAATAAAAAAAAAGATGAAAATTTTACATATATGAAAATTCTTGTTCGAAGATATGTGCCAGGGTATGCTTTCACTGGAAAACGTAGATAGGTATGTTATCTAATAAGTGAAAGTTATGCAAATACGTATGCAATTGGCAAACTCGTTGGTGATTTGCCGTCGGCATTTAAAGGCGAAGAAAAAATCGGTTTTTATATTTTTAACGATTCTAATGGTAGTTAATACGCTCTTTTCAATGCAACAAACCGCAGTTTTCTAGCTACCTTAGTTTTTTCACAAATCCACTTCAAAGATGGATTGATTGCACTGCACGTGTTAACTTCAAAGTTGTTTTTCTCTGGAAAAGTTGTTTATTTTAAGAAAACATGTTCCATGATAATTTTTTACTGCTATACTCGTAATATGTATATGTAAATAATGGGGCATATTAATAGTTAAAATAAAGTCGACTCTTAAGTTAGTTACAGCTTTTTTACATCACTTTCAGTGGAATAGGCACCTGTGAAAAAAGATGCAACTAACTTTATTCTTATTTGGGGCTGACAAACTTTAACTTAGAGTCGACTTTATTGCGTGTACGAATATGCCCCAATAGTTTTGGGGTCAAATGAAATTGCATTTTCCACGCATATGTATGTACATACTCCATTAATTGATAACGTTATTACATGCATATATATGTATGTATGTACATATTGCTGCCTACATACTACGCACATGTATACATATCTACATATGCATATGTATGTACAACTCACGGCCGCATACATACATACATACCCAGCAAGAACGACCGAACGCATTCTCCAATACAATTACAAAATTGTCAATAAAAACCAACACATTTGCATATTAGCCATATCCATATGCTATTATTTGCGTTATATAACGCGTTATTAATCGCATAATAATATTTGATTGAAAAGAGACAAATATATATGAATAATATAATAGCGTTTTCCATGTAAAAGAAAGAAAAAACTGCTCACACGTGAAACGATAATGCGTTAGATTTCTCCAGGAGCCCTATGTAAAATGATGGAAAGTTTTTGAATTTCTCACACTATTTGTACTACTAGGCGTATACTCTATATCCAGTAAAATAAGTTATCTCGAATTTTGGTAATTTTTGGAAAACACTCAATTTCTCTTATCCCAACCAATATCTCAATCATTGACTAACATTTTAAGGTGTACTTTTAATAAACATTAAATAAAGGTAAACGTTTTCTGCAGGAAAAGACAATATTTTTTTTTTTAATAAAGTCAAAACTTCTAAAATCACAAGCATATGTGGCTTTATCGGAAGTTCACAAATGTAACGTGGCAACTTAGCTCGTTTTCACATTTTTCGGTCCGAAATTGTAAAATTTTTGCCCATGACGCGCCACGATTTTTGTACAGGTGGGTCAATATGCCTTGAACACCATTTGTATAAATGCAAAAAAAAATGTCTTTGTTTATTTCTTAACTTTAAAAATTTCTATACTTCCAAGCGTTTATAAATATATATTTATATATATAAACAGATTATTTTAAATTTTTTTCATCCGAAACCAAATCTTCAGTACCATAAAAAGATTCAAACACATCAAAGTACAATCAATGCGATGTCCAAGTTAGTGCTACTCCACTGTATATGTATGTATGCATGTATGCGTGTAAAAATGTCAATTCAATTTTGCGTTTAACCCATTTTAGCGGACATAGTTTTTTTGGTTACAGCTGTTAATAACACACTATTTTTCAACGCTTTTTATGTTTAATCTTCATGAAAGTTACATGTATCGTCCAGAACATGGTTACATGTAGAATTTTAAATTAATTATATTATTCTCCATACAAAATGTACAAGTATAGCTTTATTGAATGCAAAGTTGTGCGAAAATCTAAATATTTCGTAAACGTAGGGTTAATGGTTTCGCGGACGGCCCATCTGGTGCCGATACGCAGAAATTTAATAATTTGTGTTGATGGAAGCGGCGAGGGGAAGGCGAAAGCAGATCAATCGTGTATATGTATGTACATATTTACATTTATAATTGCATGAAATTTACAAATATGTGCTTTATAAATTTAGGTTTAGTAATTAATTAGATATGTAAATGACAATGTGGGGGACAAATATGCACATGAGTAGCGAAGCTGCCACCTATCCAATGGCGACTTACACGACTTTATTAGAAAATATTTGAAAACTGAATTATTTCCATAAATATTGAAAAAGTTGAAAAATTTCGTAAATAGTTTCGGCTTAGATTAGCGAGATCTTTACGAATTGCTGGGAACATCCGACGTTTTCAGATTTTTAGTATTTAAAAAAAGTTTCCAAGTCGAAAATAATTAAGAACTGAATTATTTCCATAAATATCGAAAATATCGAAAAATTCTTACAGACTTTCGACTTAGTTTTGGGAGATCTCTACAAAAAAAAAAATGAAAAATAATTCTTTTCACAGTTTTTGTTTTTTCCCCAAAAAAATTCAGAGTCGAAAAGATTTTAAAACTTGGTTATTTCCATAAATATCGAAAATTTGGAAAAATGCTTAAATAGTTTCGGCTTAGTTTAGCAAATCCAAAACCAATATAGTTTTTTTTTTTGAAAATAGCACCAAAATTGGAAAATGTTATATAATATTTTCGATTTATTTTAACGTAGTTTGTACAAATCACCGGAAAGAAATTATTTTTCCCCAAAAAATCTAATACCAATAAAGTTTTTCCATACAAAGTTTGAAAATCTAACAAAATATTACAAAAATCGAATCGAATAGAATCGAATCGAAAAATGCTATATAACATTTTTGATTTATTTTCACGGTATTCGTAGAAATCACCGGATAAAAGGATTTTCTTTACCAAAAAATCTTTTCACAAAAAAACACACACTTATGGGAGTTTTCTGTTTGCAATCATTAATGAAATATCACAAAAATCGGAAAATGTTATATAATATTTTCGATTCAATTGCATGTTACTTGTACAAATCACCGAAAAGAATTTAATTTTTTACTAAAACAAAAATCTAACACTTGGGTTTTCTATTTGAAAATTTTCCCAAAATATCACAAAAATCGTCAATATTCATATTTAATTAACATTTCAAACGCTCTCGTGAGATCTAGCTATGTTAATATTCTCCTTTTCTGCTTTGTATTTTGCTTTCGCTGTTAAGTATTCCAAATATTTGTCGCTCTTAAAATGCGCTTCGCTTGTTTAGTTGGCTCGAAAAATGTGGCATTCACAGTTTTCGGTCCTTCTCTATACTTTACGTTCTCTGGTAAATACCAATTACAATAACATAGTTCTGGGAATTGCAAAAAATATATCAACCCCAAAATAACAAATCAATGATACAAGCAGTGTTGCCGCAGCCACATGTTTTTTTCTACCAAAATTTCCTACCACAACCAACCAAAACCTACCAAACATATTTTTAAGTCTTTAATATTTTTTTCAATGTTAAGTTTATTAAAAATATAGATAAAATAAAATTTAGTAAAACTTAAATACAGCTAATACAATACAAACAATTTAACTGTGTATAACAATTCATTTTACTGTACAGACTTATTCCAATGTATGTCTCTTTATTATTATTATTACGTCGGAGATACTCGCGCTGCGACCTAAGAAGATATATTGTGCTAAACCCTAATTGTAATCACTTCAACCTTAGGCTATTTAAAAAGCTAAGCACTTTGGATGATGCCATGTTCTAAATTTTAGATAGAGAAGACAGTCGTTCTCCAATATGTATCAATCTGCGATTCATGCTTCGTGGGCAGGCACATAGAATATACTTTGGTGTTTCCTCCACCAGTCCAAAAAACATACCGTCCGCCTCTACAGAAAGACCCACCTAGTTTAAATAGTATGTTAACTTGCTGTGTGCTGTCAGGTATCCAGTAAGGGTTTTATGTTCAAGGAGTATTTCGGAGTTCCTCCTGGAAGGAGCTATGAATCTCTTTGATTATCATATTCGCTTTGACTTCCGCCAGTGGGCAGTAATCTGAGATTATTCCCAGCTAGCTCCTAAGTAGTTCTGCAGTGTATCCTGCAGATGTACCACTGATTAGCTCGGGACCATGCAAGCGCATTTGATCTCCACGCTTTGCGAGTCAGTCAGCCCTGTAGTTGCCTTCAAACCCTTCACGTCCCGCAACCCACCACAGCGTTACGCTATTGTGGGCGCCCAGGAGGTTCAAGAGCTCACAAGCCTTGATGCCGTTGAGTCGCCGAAGAGTCTAAGGTCTTTAACGCAGCCTGAATGTCCGACATAATATTTATTCTGGCCTCATTTGCCTTCTACGATGACATTCGCGAACACAGACTTCGATTGGGAGGAGCTCCACCTAGAATATGGTTGAGTACGAGCCCATTGGCAGACTTTTCTGAAATCTTGGTCCAAGTATGCCATAAAGTATATATGGAGTTCATATTGTATATCGGCAATAATCTATATATATATAAATGTTGTGTTCGTATGTCACGGTCGTCAAAACTCGCGAACGGCTGAACCGATTTGGATAATTTTGTTTTTGTACTGTTCGGTATAATACCAGAACCAATGATGTCGCAAAAAATTAGAAGGCTGCCACCTATTTGAAAATTTTTAAACCCAATTATATTGATAAAACAAATAAATTTTTACAATATGGGTATCAAATTAAAGAGGTTTAAGAAAGATAACTGCTGGAAATATTTTTGGCGAGGGTTTCCACCTATTTGAAAATTTTAACTCAGTCAAATTGATAAAATTAATGAAATGCTGCAATGTGGGTACAAAGTTAAATAGGTTTAAGAAAGATAACTGCTGGAAATACTCTTGAGGAGGGTTGCCACCTATTTGAAAATTTTAACTCAGTTAAATTGATAACGTAAATAAAATATTGCCATGTGGGTGTAAACTAAAGAGTTTTAAGAAGGCTTACAGCGGAAAATATGTTTGAAGAGGGTTGTCACCTGTTTGAAAATTTAAATAAATTTAATTGACAAAATAAACGGCATATTACAATACAGGTATCAAATAAAGGAGTTTAAGAAGGATGATAGTTGGAAATATTTTGGAGGGCTGCCACCTATTTAAAAATTTTAACTCAGTTAAATTGATAAAATAAATGAAATATTGATATGTGGGTATCAAATTAATTAAGTTTAAGATAACTCTTGGAAATATTTCTAAGGAGGGTTGCCACCTATTTGAAAATTGTAACTCAATTAAATTGATAAAATAAATGAAATATTGCCATGTGGGTATCCAACTAAAGAGCTTTAAGAAGGCTTACAGCCGATGTTTGTGGAAGGTTACCACCTGTTTGAAAATCTAACTAAGTTTAATTTATAAAGTAAATGACATTACAATATAGATATCAAATTAAAGAGGCTTAAGAAATGACTGTAGGAAATATTTTTGAGGGCTGCTCCTTCTTGAAAATTTTAGCTCAGTTAAATTGAAAAAATAATTGAAAAATTTCAATGTTGGTATTAAACCATAGATTTTTAAGAAGGCTTGCAGTCGAAAATATGTAGGAAGAGGTTTGCCCCCTGTTTGAAAATTTAACTCAATTTAATTGATAAAATAAATGACTTATTATAATAAGGGTATAAAAAACATGGTTTAAAAAACATGACTGTTGGAAATATTTTTAAGGAGGGTTGCCACCTATTTGAAAATTTGAACTCAGTTACATTGATTAAATAAATGAAATAATGCAATATGGGTATCAAACTAAAGAGTTTTAAGAAGACTTACAGTCGAAAATATGTTTGAAAAGGTCTGCCATCTGTTTGAAAATAGAACTCCATTATGAAATGTTACAATATGGGTCCAAAACGAAAGGTATTTGAGGAATCTTGATTTGGAAACACTCTCAATAGAATTATACAATGTGTAAAAGTAGACTGAAAATATTTGAATTAAATGAGATATTAAATAACTGGTTCGAAACGGAAAGCGTCTGGGAAAGCTTTACTAGACACATTTTTTGTTAATGTTTTCACTTATCCAAATCTGGACAGTTTAAATGAAGAGAGAGTTTACAATATCTTATCAAACGGAGTGATCATATTATCAACGAAACGTTGGTATACAAATTACGCATTAATAAAGAACTACTGATACAAATGTAAAAATAAAAAGCGTAACGAAAACATAAAAATATACCATGAAATGAAATAATGAAAACTCAAAATTTTTATCACCATTCCCTTACATTATAAAACAGTTAAATTTTAACCATAAACAATTTCGTTTGGGGTCGCCGTAGCCTACTAATTATATTGCGAGTAAAGAAATTTTGAATAACAATAGATAATATTATTATGATTATGATTATTATTACTATTGTGAACTCCTATTCTATGCGCAAACAAACATTCCCAAATTAAAGCTAAAGCAGAAGGGCATTTACAATCGCATGATGCAAGTGTTAACATAATAAGAGCTGCAGAACTAACCACTCAGGAACAATTTTTACAAGCGCGTGTTATTTCTGGCATGTACTGATGACATCGACATTATCGGTAACAAAAACCTCGAAGTCTGTTCTTTCTGCCTTTTCCGTTGGATAACGGACGACAACAATATCAAATAACCAGTCAGGGCATTCGCCTCTTGGCACCCAAGCCACTGTTGCCGGTTGTAATTCCGAGAAAGTAGATAATTTCGTTTACTTGGGAACCAGCATTAACACCGATAATAATGTAAGCATGTAAATCCAACGCAGAATCATTCGAGCCAACAAGTGCAACTTTGGACTGAGTAGGCAATTCGGGAGTAAAGTTCTCTCTCGACGTACAAAACCCACACTCTATAAGTCATTCATCATGCCCGAGCGGGTTTATGGCGAGAGAAAGATCTTACGAAAGATTTGCAGGTCTCCCCGCCTTGGCGACGGGAAGTATCGCAGACGATGGAACGATGTGTTGTATGAGCTTTACAACGAAATCTATGTCCATTTGAAAATACAGCGGCACCGTTGGCTTGGACATGCCATTCGAATGGGAACCGACGTTCCAGGTCCAGCGCCAAAAAAGAAGGAGAAAATGATATCTGGGACCTTATTCTTGGATGCGCCAGGAGGAACTAGGAAAACATTCCTTATCAGATTGATTCTGGGGACGGTTCGTTCAAAAAATTACATAAGCTTAGCTAGGGCTTCGCCTGGAATTTCTGCGACATTGGCCCCTATTATGAGTTGCATTCGATTTTCGATCTTCGCTGGCTATCGAAGATCGAAAGTAAAATTCGTATTATGAGCTATGCAAGCGTGTCGAAATTTTCGTTGAGTATCGAATTTTCTGTCGAACAGAATTTTGCTTTCGTTGGTGTAGCGAAATGTTAGAAAATTTTAAAAATGCATGATTTCGCATTTGTTTTCTTACTTTTTGGCGGCTAGACACTAATTTTAAACAATTTATATTAATTTCAAGAAGTTCTAATGTCGTGAATAGTAAACACAAGCTCGAAAGTCTGGTTTTACATATGAAAGAAAATCCCTATACGCTGTTGGCACGATCTCTGAAAACATAATCATGGAGCTGTTTATAGTTTTAATATATTTTAAATAGTTTGGATCACACAATTTCTTAAATATATTGTATGTAAAAATATATTCGAAAGACTGCACTTAAACTCTCACGTTTTCTGCTCTTGGCCAGTTTTTTAAGCCCTCATCCTCTGACGAATCGTTCAACCAGAACTCCGTTGTGCTAATTAAAATTTTTTTACCACGCTTTTATAAACTCACTTTCTTTTTTATTTCATTTTAATTTGCACAAATTTACATATGTACATATATATAAGCACTCTATTTAGTTTGCTCGATCTGTAAACAAAGCTTCTCAGCGGTGAAAAATATACTATTGTGAACAACCTAAACGAGCGAAATTCACAATAGCGCTATTCTTCATCGAATGAGCGCCATAATACCAAATGAAAATTCGTTCGCTCAGCACTTTCGACCACAGTCGAAGATGGAATGCAACTCATAATAGGGGCCATTGTTACCAGGTGAAAGAATTGCTAATTCAGAAATCCCACGCGCAATATTTCCAGAACATCCAGTATGGAAAGAGTATTACAAAAATTTAGACTCATTGTTTGGGATGAGTGTACCATGGCACACAAAAAATTGCTTGAGGTTTTTGATCGATTGTCGCAAGATTTGCATGGAAACGTTTAACCATTCGGGAATGCATTGATGTTGCTCTCAGGAGATTTAACGCAAACATTGCCTGCAATTTCTCGATTAACACCAGGCTGGCGAGATAAATGCTTGCCTGAAATAGTCAACATTGTGGCAAGGCGAACATACATACACTGCAGCCGAGGTATTCTCGCGACGAATACTGGATACTGGGACCGGAAAGGTGCCAGTCAATGAGAGATTAAGACGAATTTTAGTGCCTGATAATTTTGTAACTTAGAAACATCGAAAGGAGAACTTATCGAAAGAATGTTTCTTAATTTTTGATCGCGATTGATCTTCCAGGGATGACGGCAAACCAGATATCCTTGATATCTATGCAGAGAATAGCAAAACGACAAATATTGTGTGCACACAAGTACTTATTACAAACTCAAACTTATATGAAACGTATGCTTTATTTCGTTAATCATTGATCTTCTATGTAAAAGTATATGCCACGGCAAAGCGTGGCACGGTACAGCTAGTGAGGGTATACGTTTGTACTTAGAAATCCGGTATATTTACATGTTTACGGCCGCCGTTATACGAACGCACCTGTGAAATATTCATGTAAAAAAGGTTGATAAAATGTTTGGAGATACATATTTTTTATTTTTTGCAAATAACTATTACTCATTGTCACGGAACCTACCAAAATCCAATCAAGCCTACCAACCTACCAAATGAAAAAAAAACTACCGGTTTTGGTAGGAAAAGCCCATGTGTGGCAGCACTGTCCGTAAGTCACATGACTTTAAAATTTGGTGTGTGGACATACATATTTACGGTAGATGCTTATAGTAAAGTGCATATATTTTTGTAAAAAGGGCGTGGCACATCCTACAGGAGTGAAATTTTTAATCAGCCATAACTTCGGAATCATACGTCACATGAATTTGAAATTCTGCTCTGCATCGTAAAGTATGTTTTTAAAAAAATGGTGGTGGCAGATGGCGCCGGAGTCGAGAGTGGGTTTTGATATCTAACCCACTAGAAAGAGCACAGTTCGCACTTCGTAAAAAGTCACACCTGATCCCTCGAAACCTTCCACATATCCCTGGGGAACCATTAGAAAATGGTCTAAAATTAGCATTTTGACACTGGAATTGTAAGCTCGAGAAACAGTATTTTTGTGCAGAACACCTTTCTATTGTGAAAGGTATTCAACGTTTATTGTGCATATAACTCTGGCTATGCCATCCACAGTATATTTGCGTAGAACTTACTCCGAAATTCACAAAAAAGTTCATTTTTCAGACCGAATTTATTAATCAATTAGTGACCGTAAATTACAAAATTAGGGTTTACAATAAAGTGTAGACCCTTAACTACAAATGTGTAACATTTTTTGATCGGGTCACCCATTTGGGCACAATAGCCTAAAATCATTGGGCAAATAACTAAACCGTACCCAGTTAAATCGTTATTTGATTTTCCTCAATCAACAATTGCACCAAGATCACGTCACGCACGCAGCTGATTCTGTCAAATTCACAAAGAGCGGATTAGCAGTACCGCGATGGGCGCAATCTCTATTTCTCTCAATCGTGCTCATAAATAGTTGTTTTTTCGTTTCTGCGTCGCTGCTGTTCGCTTATCCGCAACTGCTGCATAATTTCTGCTGATACACTGCAGACCGCCTTCCACGCCTTCCACGCCTCTTCGCTCTCGATCATTCGCAGGACTAAGTTTTCTGGTGCGACGTTAACACCCAAAGCTTCCTTTAATCTTCGTCGGTCATCGCTGAATCATGGACAAGTAAATATCACGTGCTTTGCTTCTTCCTCCGTTTCTGGGCCGCAAGTTTCGCAAAACGGATCTTTCTCGTGTCCAAAACGATGGAGGTAACTTTTAAAGCAGCCGTGGCCGCTAATAATTTGCGTGAGGTAGTAGTCTACCAAGCCGTGCTTCCTATTTAACCATACGTCAAGTTTGGGAATGAGCCGATGGGTCCACCTTCCATTTGAGGCTGCATCCCACCTTGCTTGCCACTTTTCCATACCTCGTTGTCTTGATGCTTTCTTGTAGTCCACGTACTCAGTGTTTGGGTGAGCTCGTTTTGCCACATGGAGCTCGTGTTGCTCTTGTGCCGCGATATCAAGGGGAAATAGCCCTGCTATCACTAGAGCTGCTTCTTCCGACACCGTTCGAAATGCAGAGCACACACGTACGGCACATCGACGATATGTGGAGTTAATGCCTCGGACATATGATCCTCGTTTGAATGCGTGGAACCATGTCGTGGATCCATAGTGTTATTGCTCTCACTACGCTTGCTAGTAGCTGTCTACATTGTTGGCGTGGCCCACTAGTATTGGCCATAATTCTAGATAGCGTTGTAGTCGCCTTTGCGGCTTTGTTGTTGGCATACTCTAGGTGGTCCCGGAAGTTTAGCCGATGGCCGAGTAAGACGCCAAGGTATTTGACATACGGCTTTGATTCGATCGTGGCACCGCCAACTGTTAGTTTAACTTTCTCCACCCTCTTGCGGCTGCTAATTAGGACCGCCTCTGTTTTTTGGCCAGCAAGGTAAGAGACTTTGTCCTTAGCCATTTCTCTACCAAAGATACTGCGGCCTCTGTAATGTGCGCGAGCTAAGCGCTAAGCGTTTTTGCTACCACCACAAACGAAATGTCATCAGCAAATCCAACGATGGTTACATCTTCAGGATCCGGCAAACGCAATATACCGTCATACATTATGTACCACAGTAGGGGGCCCAGTACAGGTCCCTGCGGTATCCCTGCTGTGACTTTGCGGTAGACACTGCCGTAGCAAAGCTCTCTATTGCTTAAGTAGCTTGATACGATGTTATACAGATACATCGGCACATGAAAGTCCCTTAGAGCACTCAGGATTTGTTTCCAGCTGGCGCTATTAAATGCATTTTTGACGTCCAGTGTTACCACCAAGCAATATTCTTTATCACCGCCAAGCCAGCGTGTCCCGCTAATAGCCTTTTCTGCAATGGTCTTGGTCACCTCTATTGCGTCTGTCGTTGAGCGCTTTTTCCTAAACCCAAACCGTAAAAGCGATAATCGGTTTTTGGCGTATGTTTCCAGGCGGTTTTTTATTATATGCTCGAACACTTTACCTGTGTTGTTGAGCATGGCAAGTGGGCGGTATGCTGAAGGCGAAGATCTATCGGCAGATTTTGGTATTAGTACCAGTCTTTGTTGCTTCCATATGCTTGGAAATATACCATCTTTCAGACATGTGCTAAAAACATTTGCGAATATCTCGGGGTTGCAGGTTATGGCTGTCTTCAGGGCAGCATTTGGAACCCCATCTGGGCCAGGAGCTTTTTTAAGTTGTAATTTTTTAGCCACATGTGCTACCTCCTCTGCAGTCACGGGTGGGATGCTATCTACAGGCACAGCTGCATTATCTCTATCAAAGTCGGGGTGCGTTGGGAAGAGAGTCCCCACTATGCGCGTGAGCAGCTCGGGGCACGTTGGCAGGGCTAAACCCTTCAACCTCTTTAGCACAGTCTTGTATGCAAGGCCCCATGGGTTATTTTCAACATCGTTGCACAGTTCTTTAAACTTTTTGCGCTTGCTATCACGTATGGCATATTTTAATTGTTTACGCTTGGTCTTGAATGCTTCTCTATAATGTCTAAAGCTGTCTGCCCCTCGTGCACGCTGGCATGCTCGTCTTGCGCGGTTGCACTCTGCCCGTATCGCTACTATGTTGTTGTTCCACCAGTATGCAGGTCTGCGTTTATTTTTACATCAGCATTGCATGCAGCCGTTATCACGCGCATAAGTTTAGCAGCTGCAATTTCTGAGGGGCCGTAGCATCAGAACCGGTGAATNCCCCTCGTGCACGCTGGCATGCTCGTCTTGCGCGGTTGCACTCTGCCCGTATCGCTACTATGTTGTTGTTCCACCAGTATGCAGGTCTGCGTTTATTTTTACATCTACGTCGCAGCATTGCAGCATTGCATGCAGCCGTTATCACGCGCATAAGTTTAGCAGCTGCAATTTCTGAGGGGCCGTAGCATCAGAACCGGTGAATATCTCCTCAAACAGCTTCTCATCGAGGCTCTCGATTTTCCAGCCGCGGTTCCAGTTGGATTTAAGTGGCTTATCTTGCAGTTGTCCTATATCAAGGATAATAGCGCGGTGGTCTCTTTGAGTATAGCACTCACTGATGTGGCAGCTACTGTGTCTATACAAGCTTCCGCTTATGAATGCAAGATCGATTACTGATCCTGCTCCGTTCTTGCTCTATGTATGTTCGCTACCTGTATTTAGGATAACACTCAGCGACGCTAGTGCATCCAACAGCGCTTTGCCTTTTGGGCTGGTCTTTTTGCTGCCCCACTGCACAGCCCATGCATTGAAATCGCCTGCAATCAGTACGGCTCCTCTTTCTTTGGCGTCGTCTACCAACGCGTCTATAATTTGGTTGAAGGCATGGCGGTATGTAACAGCTATATACGTACAGGTGGGTAATTTTAGCACACACGAATCCATCTGAGTGGGCGGATATAATTAACT